GTGTGTACAGAGTAAATACATTTACCTGATTTATTTATCTGAAGATCTATTTATTTGTGTGTGTGTGTGTGTGTGTTTGTGTGTGTGTGTGTGTGTATTAAGGTTGGGCAATATTGGCAAAAAATTTATCACGATTAATTGTGGTATTTAGCCGATAATGATTAATTTGATGATTAATCCCCTGGACACCCTTATGTCCTAGTGACATGACCAATTTAGTGGGAAAGATTTGCTGTTTGTAACAATCTGTTCCAAATCGTGTCAAAATTACAAACTTATATACACATCAATTTTTAAATTGTGTTGATAGATAAATAAATTACAGATTTTTTTTAATGTTCATCATATTTGAAGTGGAGAGGAGCACCGAGCGGACTGACCGGAGAAATCTCCAGTCAGTCTACCTGGTGGCATTAACCATATTAATTGTCACGTGCCAAAAAAATAATCGATTAATGTTTTTCTGACRATTAATTGCACACGATACGATTATGCCCAACCCTAGTGTGTATATTCTAAATTAATTGTATGTACTACAGCACAGAGCTAAAAATGAGGCCTAGGTAATAATTAGTTTTCATTTATGCTGAGTATTTTAACACAAACACTATTTTTTTTCCTTCTCAGATTTGCATCGTATGAGTGCCTCATGCGTTTCTGGACCATGATTGAGCCCTCCCTGCCATCCATGGTCAGTGTTCATCAAGGACAGAGAGGAACTGCCCTCGACTCCACTCCCACAACGCGTTCTTTGCTACCYATTGACGAGTTCTTCATGTTTTTAAATTACCTTGCCCTTGGATCCAAGCAGCGGGACCTAGCTGACCGTTACGGTGTCCATCAGTCCACTGTCAGTCGCATCATCACAACATGGAGCAACTTTTTGTTTACAGTGTTAGGTTCAATCAGGATCTGGATACCGGAGGAGCAGATACAAAAAAATCTACCTGCAGACTTCAAAGACTACCCTGACACTACAGTCATCCTTGATTGCACTGAGCTGAGGTGTCAGTGCCCATCGTCCCCTCTCCTCCAGAGTGAGGTGTTCTCATCTTACAAATCCCACTGCACTCTGAAAGGGCTGATTGGGATCGCACCACATGGGGYGGTGTCATTCATCTCAGGACTGTATGCCGGGTCCATCASTGACAAGCAGATCACACGTGAATCAGGTCTCCTCAACCTCTTAAAACCTGGGATGGCTGTCATGGTGGACAGAGGCTTCCTCATCGATGACATCGTTCCCTGCAAAGTTTACAGGCCAGCATTTCTCTCTGGCAGGTCTCAGATGTCTGCAGTGGAAGAGACCGAGGCCATAGCAYGCCTCAGGGTGCATGTGGAGCGCCTCCTTCGCAGGGTCAAAGAGCACAAGTTGTTTGACTCTGAAATTCCCCTTGGTGTTTTTGGGATAATCAGCCAGCTGTACACTGTTGCTTGTCTACTGACAAATTATGAAAATGTGGAAGTCTACTGAAGAAGCAAAAAAGACCATCTAAGTCATAATTATAAAATTATCACTTAAATCAATATAGCATTTTGTATTTATGAGATGCTTATATGCATCAACAAAATGATGGGATATTGCAAATTTATTAAATTAAATTAGTTTAAATATGTCTAATGGGTAAATTAGAGACAATGTAGCTACACGAACCTATAAAA